TACTAATAAATCCAGTTTTCGACGCTCTTTAATTTGGTATAAAATTCATTAGGTATTCAACTTGAAATAATGACGCTACCCCCCTAGCAAAAGGTTATGCACAACCCTGTACATAATAATTTGGATTCAATTGCTTTCACAGCATTTTCTATAACATCGGCAAAGTATACTCCAAATCGCGTGTTTAACATATTCAGTTCATCTGTTAAGATAAATATATTTTCTTAAAAAATAAAGTACAGTTTGGAAACTAAGAGTACTACGATCCTCAAGGAAACATGTTATAACCAAAAATACCTACATGAAACGTTAATACGTTGAAATCTCTCACGAAATGCAAAACTATTGTGTTTATACGTGTCATAAAAATTCTTTATCATCTTTCGAGATTGTTTATTGAAGTGCATTGTATGAGGACGTCTTTGATCTCTATCTTTTTATCAATCTGAATACTCTAACATCTTTTAATCAATAAATGTTCCAAACCGTCAATAAGATTATATATCTTTGCTGTATTCAATCGCTGACTTACTACGGTAGAAACTTACCAATTTCGTCAGATGTTGAAACAAAGAAATTTCAGTGTCATTGTTAATCACGAAGTCAGCAGCAATTAGACCTTCTTTCTCCTATTTATTATTTGTATCATCGATTCGAAAAATAAGTCTAAATAGATTTTCTTCCATATCATTATGTTCCATTGAAATACTTTGAAAAGCCTTGGCTTATTTATACTCTAGAAGAGAGAAAAAGATGAGCATGACATATGCAGAAAAAGAAGATCGCCAATATTCGCCAATGAGATGAATGAATAAGTTCATTGACGTGATTGAAAATGTGCCATCTAGATTATATAGCTCAGCGCCATCAAGCATAACAGGTACATTCAATAGCATACCAACTACAAATAAAAGAATGTCTAGTCCTAAAATTTCGTGTTGTTCGAAAAACCGAAGCATTAGCGCTTGCCAAAAAAAAACATGAAACTTGCTTTTATGTCAAATAACATTGAAAAAAATTGATTAGTTTAAAAACGTTTGCACTGATTTGTGTTGAATACGAATTGGGTGTGGATATGAATCTTCTGCTCACCGGCATATACACCCTAAAATCAAAACAATTGCTAGTGTTTGAATATTAGAAGGGGTAACTACTGATAAGAGTATTTATGTAAATAAAGAACTTTGAAATATCTGTTTTACGTTGAAGCAATGATTTTTAGAAAGATTGACAGTGTGATAATACGGATAATTCTTCCACAGCAAATCTGTTGCGCAAGATATTCATCAATCCGAATTTAATTGAGTCAATATAAACAACTTGTTGAACTATGTTAAACAAAAAGTTAGCTTACCTGCTTACGACGATGTTTTGACGAATCATAAACTACACAAGTTACAACTCTAACTTTGCATCCTTATCGAATTCGAGATGATTATAAATTTAATATTGGTATTGATTCGATGATTATGAACGAATATTTTTGAAGAAGCTTAAAAAATAACTTCGAAGATGAATTAACAAAACTTCTAGTAATAGTTTCAATGAATACAATGATAATTAACCGATTGTCTATAATCGAGATACAAATCATATGAAAGTAAGACGCATAAAAACATTCATCTGAACAACGGTTTATATTTTTCTTTTGAGAGAAGACAAACAGAAAAGAAGAAATTTGTATATGGAATAATCAATATCCAATTAGAATTGAAAGTTCAGTTCAGTCACAAAGGAGAAAAATGCTGAAATGGTGACTTCGTTTGAATGTATATATTTACATTTGTTAGAAAATATGTCCTTCTTTCTCAAATGATCTAATAATATATGGAGAACAAATATATAGTTTTAAACAAAATTTAATCTTTGAAATGAAAAGTCACTTCATTTAATGGCACGTTGTAGATGTGGTGTGTTATTATTCGATAAGATCTCTTTCGATCGTTTGCACTTTTTTGATAAATTCATTGGTTGTTGTTCTGTTTTTTTTAAGGTTACCATTGAATGAGATGATAAAGTTGATAAAGGTGGTGGTGAAGTAGTCATTTGATTTTCTTCAACTTGAAGATATTTAAAAATAGAAATAATTGACTATGTCATTTATTTACTTGAGGAATATTCAAAAGAGTGAATACCAAGTGCTCTAGCGTATCTTAAAAAACATAACAATAGAATGATTAAGTAAGTAAGAAGAACTTACTCTTCACCATAATAAACAAATAGCTAAAAGATGAAATTAAATTAACGCTAGTTTGTTTTTTTCTATAATGAAAAATTATTCTACTTCTTCGCCTGCTTTTATATCACGTGATGTTCGATAGTAGAGTTCACCGTTAAATTGAACTGGTTCTAAATTTTCATCTACTTGTCTAGTTGGACAATTGACATATCTAAGAAATTTTCTTTTATTAGTAATTGATCAATGAAGATTCTTTTCTTTAATTTTACCTAAGCCAATTACTACAACTTGGATCACTAGCATCTATATAATTATAAACACTACCTTCAGCATCTTCGATAGTCCATGCCTATGATAAACAAATTCAATTCCCTTCAAAAGTTTTACTCGACAAATTACATAACCGGATTTATTGGCTCGTTCAGTTGATCTATGCCGTTCGCCAGTATATGGTCCGAAAAATGTATTTCTAGGAAATTCTTTAATAGCAAATGCACCTAATCCAGCAGTCGGGATATTTGAAGTAGCAACTTTTATTCCAATAGATACAGTATTTTTTGCATGATCAGCCTGTTTTAGATGTGGATAAAAAGGAATTTACACACAAACCAAAATAAATTAAATTTATTTACAGATTGATTAGGTTCATAAGTTTGACATCCTTGTGGACATAAACTGTGATTGTATTTTTGACAGTTATCACAATCTTTTATTGAAAACCAATAAAAAATATTGAATATTATTTGAGTCTTACATAGATAATCATCATTTAACAAACGTTTTCTTGGTCGAATATGTCGTTCACCAAAATTTGATTTTGATATTAACGAAGAATTTGTAATATGTTTCGTTCTTTGCTGATTATACTCTTTGCAAATAAAAAAGAGGAAGAAAAAAAATTTGAAATAATTCTGCAATATTAAGAAAAAATACTGCTTTTTTCTGATTTAATCATCTTTGAAATTATTACGTTTACAAAATCGTATATATTATTTTTTAAACAACCAACAAAAAAATCAAAAAATTAATGAAATTCTAGCTATTAAATTGCAAAAAATGTTAACAGACAGTTACTTAAAACTCTTTCAGGCGCCAATGAGCCTAAGAATTAAAATTAAAAAATATTCATAAGTTATTGCACTAACATTATATAGATGCATTATCATGAAGAGTAATCATTTTATTCTGATCAAGTGCTCCTATACTAAGCAAATCTGATGACCATAAAAGCAATTACCTGCGAAAGTTTTTTATGCATCATTATTCTTTATTGATTTACTTTAGAGTTCTGCTTAGAATTCAATTTCATCTGAATTTATCTACTATAATATAGGAATAATTTTTCCTCAGAATAGATGCGAATAAAAAGATCTATAAAAATTTCAATTTTGAAAGGCTTTGAAATGCCAAAGTCAACTGATCGAATCATCATGAAGACTTCTGATAAACAAATCTGTCCTGTAGAAGAAGATTTTATGGTCAAAAGAATAATTCCAAGTTTTTAAAATATTATATAACCAATAATATTTGTCAGAAAAGTTTTTAAAAAATAATGTTTTCATATTTGATTAAGGAAAGCTGTGTTTTCAAAAAGTTTTACTTAATTGAACGAACCTATTTGTAGAAGCCTGATGGTTAAAAGTGAGAAGTTGACCATTAGTACTGCAACTTTTCAATAACCTCTGCTCTAGGCGTTTCACTAAAATACTGCAGATTTTTTTTTTGACTATCCATATCTCCTGTATAACCTTGCTGATCAAGAGATAAATTTAAGAAAACACCCACTTTATCCATCTTATCATTGTAACATAATATAAGTTCTATTTGTATAATGAACTTTTTAAATTTTTGAACTCTATTGTAAAAATTCTAATAATCTATGATATGATAGTATTGGCACAAAATATTTACTAATTAGTTAGCTAGAATTAGATTCTTTCAAAATTTCTGTTTAGAATATTCTTACCGGCTAAGACCGAACAATTATCATTAAATTGTATTAGAAGATTCAAAATAATGCTTGTGAAGAATACTATTTGAGTCAATTTTCTATTTCAATTGAAACCTATCATATTCAAAGTGCAAAAAATTTTTTAATAGCTCAGTTGTGTGTGCTCTTCAAAGCATGCTATTTACTTTTGTATTTTTAAAAGCTGTTTTTGAAGCAGCAATTTTTTTAACAATATCGATTTTCATAGAAACTACCTTCTTAGTAGAAATGCATAGATGAAACTTTTTCCGATAGCAATATTTATTTCATTTTTTACAGAATCCAGTACTCTACAATAATGTTGAGATGAAGTTATTCCCACACAAACTAAGACCTTTGTCAAAATCGCTATTTTGCTTTGTACAGATAGATTCGAGAATAGCTTTCACCAAATATCTTTTAATGGCCGAAAAATGAGCAAATAGTTTTTGTCAAGACTTAAGCTCTAGAGATCATTTCTAAAGTTTCGTAGAACTCAAATATATTTTTGAAGAAAATAATAGTAAAGAGAAGTTTCAATTGAGTTTGTTGCGATTCCCGCTTCCAGACTGTAGCAATTCGCAATAAAGATCGTTATGAAAGACGTTGATGATTTTCCCTAACTATCCTGTAATCAGTACAAAACCATCACCTAATTACGTTCTAATTTTGCGTATGCCAAACCATCCACTAAATTAATAGTTAGACTAATAATAAATTATGAGAAGAAAATAAATACCATACGAATATTAACAAGACAAAATAAAAAAAGAGAATCAGCAAAAAAAAACCGATTTCTGCTTGAAAAGTATTTGCAACTTTTGTATTAGTATAATAATAAAGCTAAATAAGACTTGTAAATTTCGTATTTTAGCCCCAAAATCATTACTTATTTGATTTTTAAGATGAATACTCTCGAATTTTCTAATTCTTATTTTGTTAATTAAATCTATATATATATATATATATGTATATATTTATTTATTGATTATTTTTCTGATTGTCCTATCCATTTGAATAACCCAAACAAGTTTTAGTCAGTACACACGCAAACAACACACGTGTAAAAAAAACATGTCTTATTTTCACACACAAATTCTGTACTAGATCAAAACAAACAATATAACAAAAGCCAAAAAATATGAATTGTCTCATGAAAAAGAAAAAAAAAAAGAGATCGACACGTACATCATAACAAAGAATTTACAAAAAGAAAAGGAAAGGAAAAAAAAACAAAATATTTTTCTCTAGAATAAATAAAGATCTCACATAAAGTAATTCATCATTTGTCCAAAAAATTTAAAGACCTGTACTATTACTGCTCAAAACTAATCGTTTATTCATAACATGAAAACATTCTGTTAATGTTTCTTGTACTAAACGATCAAATACATATTCAGCTATATCAAATTTAATTCTTAAACAATCATCTTCATAATCAATCCATTGACTTTCAGTACGACGTAATTCTTCATCAAGAACATTTTCAAATTGTTCTGTATCATGATGTCGTCCTATTGATATACGCCATTTTGGATGTGTTATATGACGTGGAATTAAATTTAAGATTTCTAAAATTTTTCGTTGAATAAAATGTTCAGCTTCATCACGATTATTTGGTTTATGTGAACGATAAAAACGTTTACGAATTAATTTTGTTTTTTGCCATTCTGGATATTTTGTTATTCGAACATTTGGTGAATACATTTCATGTAAAAGTTCAACACATAAATCAAATATCATTTGATTATAAGCATGACGACTACGCCGAATATCTTCATTATCAGAATCTAATTTAATAAACCAATAAAAAAACAAAATCATAAAATAGAAAAAAAAATTGTTTAATAACCTTGTTGTTCATAATTAAAATATGAGTCAGGTATTGTTCGTTTGATAGTTGACCGATTGGAGAAATCATTATTTTGATTATATAATATTATTAGAGCTTCGTGACATAATTGAATAACTTGTTCACGTGTATGTGAAACAACGGATTTAATAGGTGTTTCACTAACAGGTTTAGTAGGTTCTTCAATAACAGTTTGTATTGTTTCATCATCAACATGTGTAGTAGATTCTTTATCAAGAGGTTTTCGAGGACTTGTATCACGTATTTCATCAACTGAAATAATTATTCATAGATCAAAAAAAATAAATTTAGCTAAAATATGATCAAGGTTTTAATGGTTTGCAAAAGAAAAACATACTATTCATTTCATTATTATTCTTTTTCATTAGTTAGCAGCTGTAAGGTGGATTTCTTTTTTCAAACATTAAAAAGTCATGAAACTTATTTAAGTTATAATCATAATGCGTAAAATATTTAATATTTCTTAAAATAATGAAAAACGAAGCTGCCAATATGAAGTGATAGCCTTAAAAATCTTACGTAGTTGTTATAACCCATGGGTGAACTAAATCAGGCATTGCCTTTCCACTAACAGTTTTTACTCTATCATCCAAAACGCAAAAAACTAATAATTGCAATCTATCTTGAATAAACTTTTTCGAAATAGTGCCCCGCACTACCCTACCGCAGATGACTTCTCAAGTACGCTACTCCATAAATAGACTGTTTAATATAAACTACGACAATCATTCTATCAAAGTTCTAATCTGAATTGTAGAGTTTTATAAAATAAACTTATAAACTGTATTGAATACTAAAATGTTTATCCGGACTCTAGAGAGTTTTGATACAATAGAAACCAGAAATCACCTTGATGTTCAGCTCGAAATCTTGAAAATTCAGCAAAAATTTGACATAAATATATTGTAACTTTTTTTGAAAAATCAATCAATTAAAGTGAATCTTTAATATGAGATAACTTCCTATATTTTCTATACGATTATTTTTATTAAATTATTAACTTTAGATAAGATGTTTGTTTACTTTTGACTAGCTAGAAAGCATTTTCAACAAAAGTTTGTGCAAAAATTAATTTTTGACGGAAAATCTTTGTCTTTCAACAAGGCATCCAAATTTTCGTTTTTTTCTATATACTTATTTTTTGAAAGATCAACAACTATTATACGTTGAAAAAAATTCGTGGAAACGTTTTTTGCATGTTCAAAAACGACCTTATAGAGAGTAAACGAAAATCTATTGGCTCATTTAACGAATCAAAAATAAACAAGTACTTTTCGATCACCTGTTAATAAAATAAAAAATATTATTCTATACTCACGTTTGTCATCAACAAGTCGAGCTAGATCAATCATAAGTTCTTCCTAAAAATAAAAATTATTAAACTTAAAAAAATAAAAATTTTTTTTTTACATCATCATTAGTTTCATTTGTTGTTGAATCAGATTGGTCAAGACCATCTGGTTCTTTCGAAAATGTTGGTAAATCATTACTGAAAAAAAAAAAAAAAATTTTTTTCTTTTTCAATTTGCTTGTTTGTTTGTTTTTTTTTGTTATTTGCTTACTCAGCTTCTTCTTCATGATTAGTTGATATTTTTTTATGATTTTCTTCACTAACTACATCTTCAGCTGGTATCCATTCACTAGCTTCTTTTGTTAATGAATTTTGAATTTTTAAATTTCCAATTTCTTTTCCTTGATCAATAGCTTCATCGATAAATGTTCGAACTAATATTTCAGTTAATTTATCAATTTTATTATCTTGTTCAATACGTTTATTACCTTGATCATCTTCACTTATATCGTGTGATGTGTCATCAGATTCAATTTTTGTTGGAATTAAAAGTGGTTGTGGTGGCGGTGGTGATAATTTTTCTTCGAAAACTTTACCATCTTGCTGTCCTTGTGTACTAGTTGCAGGTATTTTGGCAAGAACAGGTATTTCAGATTGTTCATCACCACTTGTTTTTGATGATGAACTTTTATTTGAATCATGTCTTGAAGATATATCATGAATATCATCTTCTATTGGTTCAAGATTAATATCATTAGTTTGAATTTTTGTTGGAGTCTGTATTGGTGAATGACTAACTTCAGAAAAATCTTCATCATATTCATTATTTATTGATGATCGTTGAGATTCTTTTCGTTCGTTTATAGGAATAAATATTTGTTCTTGTGATAGGGTTTTAATACGTTCTTCTACAAGTAATGAAGGTGATTTGATATGTTCATGTGCTGGTGGTGAAGGTGATTTAATATGTTCTTGTGCTAATGGTGGTGGTGCTGGTGGTGATGGTGAAGGTGATCGAGATATTTGTGGTGATAAGGATTTAATAAATTTTTCAGATATTGTTGAAGATGATGATATTGATATAGAATCTTCTTTTTCTTTATATGGTATTGAAGAATTTATATTTACATTATTTGTAAGTCTAAAAGGAACAGAATAGAAAATAATTATGTTTATTTCATCATTTTAATACAATATTTTAAGTTCTTGGAGATATAATCATTTCAAGTACTAGAAATCGATTTATTCTTCTTTAATAGATACTCAAATAGTTCTCTTTCGAAACAATGATTTAAACCTCCGAGAAAGCAAAGACACATAGTATGTGTCGGTATACATCAAAATCTGAACTTTCGCACTTTAGTCGATATCCAATTCCGGACATATCAAACACCTCAACCTGTCGGTTTTAGTACATGCTTAATTGAGTATGTGATCAATCCGATCTTCGAAGCAGCGCCATACTCTCAGTTGTCAACACTAGATAAAACATAAATCATGTTAGACACGAACGATAATAATTTCCATGCACTAATGTAACCAATTATACAAGCATACAAATGGCTTTTAAGCCATTTTTTTTCTAAATTATACTTCGTGATCTTTGCATTATCAATTTTCAAAAGATATGGTTATTTAAATACTTTTAAAAATGTTCTCGAGTCAATGTTTATCATACATAATCAAAAGATCAATGTAATCTTCTTTTTGTAAGTATTATTAAGTCTGTTTTCAAATAAAAATAGATACTTGTTAAATCTGATATGTCTTCTATCGTTTTAATGAAAATAATTTATAAAATATTTATGTGTAATATACTTCCTCTTCATAGCATGAAATATATTCAATAGAGTTATGTTTATTTTAGTTTAAAACAATAGAAACAAAGTAATTCTACTAATGTATGAAATCATTTTATAAAATTAATTTAAGAATAACTTAAGGTTTTTAATAAATAATTTCTCTAAGATCACCATTTACTGTCTGTTAGTATTTTCAAAAATAAAACGAATGACGTATGAATTTGTTATGAAATTAAATAGTACGTACTTTTCATTATCAATACTTCCATGTTGACTATCATGATCACTTTCAGATTCAATTTGTAACTCAGTTGTAACTGATATTGATTGAGCATCATGTTGTGTATCACGTTCATCACGTGGAGTTTCTAATGGTCGTCCTTCGATTTCTTTTTCTTCATCATTATCAAATATATCTTGTTTTGGTGAAAGAATTTGTTTGTCCTAGAAAAAAAAAGATCGATTAAATAAATTTTCTAAATAAAAAAAAAACATTGTTGGTTTTTTTTCGTACAGATTTTGTTGTTTTTGGTAAATTTGATTTTTTTGTTTCTGTTAAAGGACTACTACTACTATGATTACTGGGTGATGGAACAGGTACTGTTTGTTCTTGTTGAATTGGTTGTAAACGTAATGCTTGAATTTCATAATCACATGACTAAAATAACAACCAGAACAACAAAGTAATAGATGATTATGTGAAAATAATTAGAATGTGAAAGGTTTTACTTGAATTTGCTTTTTTAATTCATCTTCTTGTCGTCGTAAAATTTCTTTATTTTTACGTTGTTTTAATCTTTCAAGTTCGAGTTTTTTTGCTTTTAATTGTTCACGATAAGCACGTACACGTCGTTCAAGATCACTCGCATCAGATGTAACGACATCTTTAAAACAAAAAAAAACAATGAAATCGGATTTCACTTTTAATCATATTATACCTGATTGTCTTTGTTGAGTTGAATTTGATGATGTATCATTATCTTTTTTAATTCTGAAAGATAATAAGAAAAAAAAACAATAATAGAAAATTTAATTAAAAAAAAAGAAAGCCAAAAACCACGATTACAAATCTGTATCTTTTCGATGAATAGATGTTCCATCACTAATACTTGATTCATCTGGAAAATGAGTTGTTGATTTTGAACGATTATGAGGTAATAAATCAGTTTTAGTCGTGCGTGCAACTGTTGGTGGACTTGAAATACTTCGTTTTTCATCAAAAATTTCAAATGCTAAATAATTAAAAGAAGATTATTGATCTTTGTAACTTATTTGTTTTTTTATTATTTAGAATTCACTGTACATATTAGAAAATGAGGTCAAATCAACTTTTGTCAAAAGGCAAAATATGAGGTCGGTGAATATGGGGGTCGATATAGTTTTTGTTTAAATCTACAAGAACACCTGCATCGAAACAGGAAAACAACATTACAAAATTAAATAAACATGCACAATCGATATAACAATTATATCATCATCACATCTATTCAACGAATTGTTTCTAATAATAGCAAAAATAAGTTAAAGATTAGACAATAAAAACATTATTTAAGGTCAATAAGCTAATATGTTAAAGTATTTTTGCTTGCGTTTCATTTGTTTTTCTTTTTTTAATAATAAACATTTGATTCAAATTTAGCTGCTTGATTTTTCATTCATTGTTCCCAACGAGAAAATATTCAGAAGTATCTGTATCAGAGTAAAAATGTTCCCTCCTTCTTTTTGTGTATAGAACTCAAATGAATGTTAGTTACAAGAATAGTTTAAGTACTTTATTGTAGTGTATGATTGATGACAATTTGCCTCAATGAATTAATTGACACTATGTTTCACGACTGGATTACTTCTTATTTCTTTTTGTATCTGCTAATTGTTTCACTGGTTTAGAATGGTAAATTCTGTTCGTCGTGGACTCGAAGTTCTTTTGCGAGAATGTGCAGTATAGGCGATTATACAAATACAGATAAAGTAAAAAAAGAAAATGTTCGAAAAATATTTCATAACAATGAGATAAATCATTCATGAAGTATCCTAATGACCAACTTATTTGTAGTGTTGGTCGATTGTATGGAATGACGTAGTTTTTGTTGAAGCAGATCGTAAAGAATCATACACTACACGGTTGGAAAAAATATTATTCCAGGGGGGTAACGCTATAATTTCAAATAGGTGATATGATGAGTTTTATACCAAATGAAAGCCGGTGAAAAATGGG